CTCGCCCATCGACATTGGCACCTTCCGAAATGGATATGATTATATCAGGCCAAACGGAGAACGGCCACTAAAATCACTTTGCCAGATCCCTTTGATGTTTTTTTTTACATCACGAGCTCATTCCTAGAAAAATCCAATTGTTTTCAAATGAAGAACCAGTAGTCATATGATTGTGCACATAGATTAATGTATGATATTGAATCTTCAATATTTTCCTAAATATCTAATGTGCAATTTTACAAAATAAAAAAACTTTAAATAATATTTCGTGTCAGTGATGGTTTTTGGTCAATAATTCTGACATCCGATCATTTAACTTAACTCGTCATTGCATTAAGCGATGTTAGTGAAGAATGTACAACTTGATTTCAACTCTTACTTACTCCTGCATATCATCTATTATCATTAAGCATTCCAAAGTGTGACGATAGAGATTCTATAAAAAGCCTATTACTAAAAACCAAAAACGTATTGATAGCACGAATCAATCTGCCCGAATTGGATATTTGCAATAAGGAACAATGTATGAGATTCAGTCATTCATTCCTTGTTATATATTGTGAAGAACTGTACATTTATGTAGCGCATCGAACACTAATATATTACCTGGTTGAAACGATGCACAACCTGTAATTATTTGATGTATGCTGTGGAGGTGACAAGTGAGAAGATAATTTAACGGACAATGAACTTGTCGATTGGCCACAAAAGCAACAGTTAAGTATACAGTGATTGCTTAAAATTTCTCATCGGGATTAATATACTTATCCAATCGATGACTCTTTAACTTTTTGAAGTGAACTTTTTGATTATAAAAAGCAGAACTGTAGTGTCAGAGATAGTTATAACTGGGAAGTTTTTAACTATGATAACTACCATGTAGCTTCCTGTCTGAACGGCAAAAGTAGATCATTTTGAGATAGAAAAAGAAACAAAATATTCAAAAAATCTACTCCGATAAATTTTCTATTAACGGTTTCAATTCGTATATATAATGTGAGCTTCACCCTCAAATATTTAACAAATTTTTGCTACACTTTACTCATGCTCCAACCAAAATGATTTCAAATTTTCCTCTTGATGAGTTCTTTCACAAGGTTGGAAACGGTGTGGGTGCGAATGTGAGTGTGAAGAGGGATTTTGAGCGAATATATGTGGTTGTAAGTGTAGACCGGATGAAAAACTATATAATCCTAGTATTGAATTACACTCCCACCGATTTGTTATAAAAGAATTAAATTGGAGATAAAGTCACTCCAGATATGCACTAGCTTAGCGATAATTACTTGAGAAATATTTTCGATTCAGTGAATTCTTGAAGTGATAAATACTATTGAGATATTATTTATGAAAAAATTAAGTTTCAATGAAAAAGTATCGTTAATTAACACTTACAATTTCATTGAAATATACCGCTCTACATGTGCTTCAATATATTCTAGTGCATTACTCTATATACCATAATATTATTTTAAGATTAGATACGAAAATTTTAATTAATATTTGAAAATATTGATTTTATGTCGGGAGAAACTTCACATGCTTGAGCAACAGAACTTGTCACATTGCATCTGTTATTTTTGGCTGAATACGAAATGGGCAATTTATCTCTAATGAGAACATGTGCGCTCTCTTTTTTTTTCGTTCTTGTGCAAGCAAATTATTTGCACCGAAAAATATTAAAACCTTGAATCATTGCAAGCAACCACGCTGTTAAAATATTGACATTGGCAATACTTTTTTTTTCGTTTTCTTTCATATTATACAACGTGCTTAGATGAGCAGCAACACACTACGTTTGGTTGAGTGTCACCACGGGAAGAAAATAAACTGTTTCTTATAGAGGTAGTTTCGTGTTTTATTTATACATACTTTATTTTTGTCAATGCACGACTACATTTGGTTTATAACGATAAGTATAGCTTTCCAATTCAGAAAAATAAAAATATAATGCAGCTGATTGAGGCTTCAGTCCCCCTTCACAACAGAATCTCACATAAGTTGCATGCTGATTGGCTGAAATTTAATGTACGCATTAGGGTGCTTGGTATTGCACAGAAACTTTTTCATTCCATATCATTTTACTTGTGTAACTATAATAATTATAGCACAAATCAGAGACAGACAACGAATCCACTCGAATTCAAACGATTTGGTTCTACTCGACTTATGATTCCAAGATCGTTTCGAATGTTCAAAAATATAAAAATACTCCTTTGTATTTTCTATCACAGTCTCTGCTAGTGAAATATTTGTATTTTTAAATTGTACGACAAATATAGATTCATGTTTTGGTTTTCATAAAAGAAATTTAAAATTAACTTCGCAATTTTCATTTTTTTCAAAATATTTTACGGATGAAAACAAGCGAGTTTCGAAACTTTTGAGTATCATAAAGTTACAGAAAACACAGAAAAATATTTTGATCAATTTAGGAAACTATTGTAAACTTGAACACATCATAAACGTTCCAAGACATGTTCTATTTCGAAACTTTCAATGATTGTACTTTTTCGAACTTCGAAAATCATTACTCAGCTTTTTAACTAATATATTTTGTCAATATCACGACCAGATATACTGTTATCAATTAGCTGCGCCTTTCGAGCTTTGACATTCGCATGTACAAATTATTCAACAGATGCAAAAAGTAGTGATTTTTTTAAAAAATATCTAAGCACTAGCTTATTTTAAATATCGATAATAATTCTCATTTCTTTACTTTAGTATCAAATGAGTCGTCATCTGATGAATGTTGCTCGATTGTCGAATTGTCTGAAATATGTAAACGATGGATATCAACTCTTCAATAAAGGTCATTATAGAAAAGTAAGACAAGTGTACAAAAGACGATTGAATAAATTAGAGCGTATACCCACAAAGCAACTACCTCTCTGCAAAAAAATTCAAATCCAATGGAAAATTATAGCACGACAAACATGACATCAGATCTTCATTTCACTTAAACAACAGTGCATCGAACACATTCACAGTCTTTAGCTAAAATGTTTACTTCAGATTCAATAAGAAGCCAAATACTTAAAGCATAGAAGTGAAAAGGAAAATGATCGTATCAAGATATAATCGAAAATAATTAAATGTGCAATATATTTATGACTGGAGGAAGCACATAAAACTAATGCTTTTCTTTCTTATTTAGTTTCATCAAAACAATACCAATAAGATCAATGATCCACCACGCATTAATTTATGTTTAATGAAGGATGAACATCGCAATGAAGTGTCTTCACTTGTTATTGAATCATTTTTTCGTGATGAGCCACTTAATAGACGTTTGTCATTTGATTTACCAAAAGAACCTGCTGAATTTACAAATATGTCTGTTGAAAAAGCTTTTCAGGATAAATGCTCATACGTGGCTATCGATAAAAATCAACAAAAAGTAATTGGTGTTTCATTAAATCTAATTGAAAGTAAGAACGATGAAACAAACATACTCGATAGTTCGCAATTTAAATCTGAAAAGTTACGTTATATTTTCAAACTATTGGAAGATGTGCATGGCCAAATCGATTTATTCAACACTTTTAATACAGATCGTCTCTTACATGTATTAATGCTATCAGTGAATGGAGAATATCGTGGTTTAAACTTAACAAGGCAATTGATCGATTTAAGTATTAAACAGGCAAAAGCATACGGTATTAAAGGAGCATTTAGTGAAACAACTGGTTACTATTCGTCTAGAGTAATGCTTAAAATGGGCTTTCAAATATATAATGAAATTATTTACGATAAATATGACCAGAAACGTCTCTCGAACCTTGGTATTCATGATCGTTGCTTACTTATTGCAAGGCCACTATAATATTTTGTATTTGAAAACAAGGACTTAACATTATTACGCGAACTATCACATATATTAGATGACTGTTTTTCTTCAATCTTGATATTTTAATATTTTTTTTTTGACCTTTGGCTCTCTATGCCATTGCTGCAGCAGAAATTAGAAATATTTGGATGCAATCTTTTAAGCCTTTTATGGTGCTGTGTTGGAGTAAATATGAGAATGTGTTTGTTGTCATTACTTCATTCACATAGATCTACTCGTATCCTCTTATTTGCAGGATATTTTGAGATTCTTGCTTGAAACTCTACAGCGAATAAAAATGCTTAAAGTGTTACAAGATATATCAAAACCATGTTCTATAATACTGCAACAGACTATCGAATTTGCATTGATTTCGTTGAAAGTGGAGAAAAAAAAACTCTGTCGGCACACTGTGAAAAATGGCTAGAATGAAAAACCCTACAAAAGGGTTCATTAGCATTAGAAACCCTAGATCAACTTTTCGTAAACCCTTTTAAGATGCATGCTATTTTCATAAAAGCTTTAAAGGTTTATTATTCCACGCTTCATTTTGATGCAATCTAGTTTAATGTTAAAACTTTAGTCACATTATTCTTTAGGCTTCTATCTATGACTGTAATGCCGATTGTGCACATTCACCTTAGCTGCATTCCAATATGCAGAGTTTTGATGAAAGCTGCTGAAGACTGATCATGAAATACCAGCGAATTCTATGTATGTAACAATTTTGAAGATTATTTTCTAATAAAGTTATTATCAATGTTTAGAATCTTTCAAGCAAAGTTTAAAAAACTACTGACTCTAGTTTTGTAGGAAGCATCATTGAACCATTGACGTAATTTAGAACATAATCTTAGAAATACTAATCAGCTCATTTTCTTTTTACAATGGAATATTTATGTTTAATGAGATAAAGTAAAACAAAACTTCAATAATTTTCATTAAGCAGTATGTCCATTGGAAAAGATCGCTCAAAACTAATCAGCTAAGTTATGCTACAATTAAATATTCTTCTATGGTCGCAGTTATTTTAATACACGTTAATGCATCTTATTCCACTACCGATCAAAATCTGAATGACAGAAATGCATAGTGAACTCATGCTGTTGGCCTATGTAGCCATAGAGCTCTATTCAGAAGTATTGTGAATAAGACAGCTACCATGAACTTTAACATTGACGATAATGCTATAATGCTCTGTCAAATTTAACTCAGTCTGCTATGAACGTTCATAAATAGTTGCTTCGGTGATTTATGCATGATTCTATGATGATATGATACTTTGAAATGAATCACGGCTGAAAAAGAAACATCCTAGGTAAACAATTACGAATTCGAGTTTTTCAAAGACTTGATTCAGGTAGACATTGTCCAATTTTGATCAAGTTATATGTTGCCGTTTGTAGTATGCCTGATATTACGCATGATAGTTCATCAAAAGAATACAAGAGCCATGCAACACCATTTTGATTAAAGTACGCAGCAAATGTTAGCATAAGCGGGTGAGGATAGGAAAGTCTTATTTTTACCTCACACGGCGATATGCACTCTCGCTCACACCCTCAAGAACTTACTCTTGCAGCTAAAAAAGGAGACGTGTTTGTAAATTTGCATTGTGTTTGAATATCGAACAAAAGAGGGTGTGGGTGTCGGTGTAGGTGTTAGTATGAATATCGGATGGTCTTCTAGTGACCCACATTCGTGCCGATATGCTCGTTCACAGATTTGCACATAGAGGTGTAAGCGGAAGGGTCAAACTGCGGCGGCTGTTTGAATGGTCCAATTTTTTCCATGGCGGCGGCGCCTACTAGACTCTATACTTTTCTACACCGGCGGCGGCGGCGGCGGCGGCTACTATGTTTTATGTTTTTCTGCACCGGCGACGGCTTTGACAACCAAAAAAAAACGTTTTTGCTTCTAAAAATGTCAGTGGCGGCGGCGCAACGACTGAACTAACTTTTTCACAGCGGCGGCGGCGGTGGCTAAAAAATTCGTAAAATTATCTCCGATTCCGTGGCGGCGGTGGCGACGCAGCTGGATGGCGTACACCTCTATTTGCACATAACACATGCACAGAACGCACACACACAATAATATTCACACTTAAACTCACACCAACACGCATAACCTTATCATGGTCATTGTGAACAAATGATAATCATGAATATGCCATAAATGGGAGAAGAGTTGGCGGGAGAAAAATCGCCTGCACATTGATGTTTTGTTTCTTTTTAGGTAGTAGTGAGAGCATGTTTCTTATCTGTAGCTACCTAACACTCTTACCTTCAACGGTGTTTCGAATAAAGTAAAATTATTAAAATATCTTATTTTACGAGAAAACAAAAGGTTCGCAAGAAGAATGAGAAGTTTAGAAAAAAAAGATTTTTTATTAGAATTGAAAAGAGTGAGCTTGAACCAGAACTCAATCACACAGACACACATGTAATAAAGGTTATTGAAATCAAATAAGTTTAAAAGTTTCTTAAGCCAAATAAACTTTGGTCAAAATGGTTAGAATACTGAGAGTAAGAAGGATTGGTGTTTGATAAATTCCAGTTGCTCCATTACAAAGATCTCCTTTACAGCATTTGACGCCTGTGCCGGCAATGATTGGAGTAGAAACACAGAATACTGTGCCGTAACGGGTAACGGTACCGCCCAACAGTGTTTTCTGAATAAAAGACAATTTTAAAATAAAGAATCAGAGAAAGCCTGTATCATAACTGACTGTGCAATATGAGTCGTCAGTAGAGTCAGTTGTGTCAATTCCTACACCACCAAACTGAAATGGGTCGTTACAGGCTGAATGCTTAGATCCATCGCATGAATAACACTTAATTGCCGCACAAATCGGTAGCATAGCTAGAAAAAGTTCAAATATTATGGCAGACGTGGTGGAAAATAAAATTACCGAGTAAACACGAGACGAGTAGAGCGTTCATTGGTTTCTCGACGTTAGTATTGCTTATTTTCAATTGATTCACAAGAGAGTAATGAAAATGGTATATTTGTTAGTTTATTTTATAGGCTGTGATAACTTTGCCAACCTTCACGAGGAGACTGATACTATGAAAAACAATCTTCTTACTAATTAGTCATGTTATCGCAACGAAACGTTCTTTTTCTGCGATGGTCTCTTAGATATAAAAGTGATACTGTTTACCTTCTTATCTATATTTTTTTCGTAATGATCTCAGTGTTAGCAACATTGTATATGGTTACCAAATAAATTTCAAGACTTGGCGTTGCAATTCAAACAAACATTTCGAAATAAAACTGGAGAAAATGATTTCCGACGAGGTATGAAATGAAAATAATTGCAAGTATTGATTGTCAAATACGGTCCACATATTAAAACTTCAGCTTCTTTCCTCGAGTCGCTGTTGCCTATTGTAATGTATATTTTCCAGCCTGTCAGTGGGTATGGGTGTCGGTATAGATAAGATTCTTCTCAGCAAGCATACTACACTCCACACCCACACACCCAGCTTCAGCGTGCCAATTCGTCAGAATGCGATCTACGGGTGAGCAGCGAGACGGTGTGACAGTGTGATGACGTCCACTAACTTTTAGTCTGATTGCCGGTGTAAGTGCGAGTCTTCGGTATTAGTCTTCTCATTACTCGCATCCACAATCACACATCCATTTTCCTAGACACTTCTACAACTACAGAAACACTCAAGAGCACACCCATACCCTATTACGATAAAACTTTAACATTTCAATCCATTGATAAGCGTCATTTACTTTTTCCACTAATTACTAGTACATTCATTCATAAATTATTCGCAACAGCAGCAGTCAAAACTTACTGACTCGGTCGTTTCGTACCAATTTGTTCCCTCCTGCAGATTCCGTCCTATTCAAATTTTGGTCTTTCAGTGAAGACCCAGCCCTATGAAGTTTGTCACATTGTGCCCCGCAGATCTCCGTACTACTTAAAAGCTCTCCACCTCCGCTCATCCTCTCGGGCGCCGGAGTTGACCCATGAACAGTAGATCTCTGGTCAGCGATGAATACCACTACCGATAACTAACGAAACGCCAGGCATTGCTATAACTCCACAGCAGTACCATTTGCGATTTCAAACACTTTAAACTAAGATAATGAGATTATCGACCAAAATCCAAAACTACTTAGGTAATTTGAACCCTAACAATAGATAGCATACTATGTCTTGAAGTCGATGAGTATGGTTTCCTACGAATAATGGAAATCAATATCTCATTGGACTAAAGCCGCTTTCCTCATAGCTTCAATCAGATTATTGCCGTTGGTCGAATACATTTTCATCTTCATTATACAAAATCTCTTTTTGAGACTCTTAATAACCTTTGTCAAAAAAAGTAGTAAACTTTTCTAAACACTATCATTTTAGTTGAATATATAAGCTAAACTATACAAATAAAATGTCATTGTATGTGTCCTCTTTTTGAATACCCATCATAGCATTATTTTATTTTATTTGATAATCTATATCCAATCGAGAAAGAGGCCACGCCAATAAATTGAACCTATGATGATCAACATGCTAATGATGATGAGTGCTTGCTTTAATCGTTGCACTAACATGGTCAAAGTCTCGTTCTTCATTTGATCTCGCTCTTCACGTAGGGCTTGAGCATCATTACTGTGAGGGAAGTCTTCTTCCGGAATTTCTTTACCCAAAAATTTACAGAGTGGTTCCCAGCCGTCTTGCACTTTGAACTCTAAAATTCGTTTTGAATCAATAGCTGCTTTTCATTTTGTTCAAATAGAATGGCATGACATCTTTGCCTCTCTTCGAATAATTATACACTTCTTCCCACCAGGTAAATTCAGCACGCGCCAAGTGAACAAGCGATCGAACTCTCTTTACTTGAAGAATTAGAAAGAGTTCCCAGTAAGATAGATTCAATTGAGCCTTAAGGTGTTGATACGATGTGTGCCACTTATCAGGATCTCGATAGAGCAGAATAACCTAAGTAATCAAAAGAAGAATATGAAGAAACATGGCAGACGAATCATACCTTTGCTTCAGGATAAGCTCTAGAAAGCTCAACAACAAAATCACATGGAGGAGCATCAGCAGCCCCAACAAAATCTGGATATAACGTGTCAATCATTTTTCGCCAGTCATCGCTGGTCCATATTTTCTCCAAATGTTTCTCATAGATTTCTTTCCAGGCTTCCATTTGTTCTACATTGTTTCTATGAACAAGTGTATGCATCGTTTTATGATAACCCAATCGTTCGAGCGCATCGTGCATTGAAAACGTACCTGAACGCGGTAAACCAGCAACAATAACCTCAATCGGCATGTGCAGCTATTCCAATCTAAAATATTACTGGAGCAACAAAGTTTATACATAGGACGAAAAACAATAAAGTTCATATGCACTGTAAACGAACGCTTGCTTTTCCATTTTGTTTCAATATGATCATAATTCGATATTTACTTAGGCCAGTGTTATCATTGTATATCTCCTGGTCATTGACAGGGAAAAAACTGAATAAAGCCTTTTTTTTACAATGCTTCTCTAACAAAACTATTTTTGAGGTTCGGCAAATAACTGCAGCTCTTTTTCTTCGATTGCAAGTATTACCAATCATTTAAGCTATGATACAGAAATATAATTTTTATAGAGTGACAGAGCCGAATATAACGCCTGCATACGGAGACAGGATATAAGCATGTGTTTTTCGATAAAATATTATGTCTTTCATTATGTGGTTATGGAGATATGCCATTGTAACATTGACCCACGGAAAGAAGCATATTTTCTCTTTTTGCATTCGTTTACGAGCGTATCTTTTTGAGTTGCGCCGACTCACATGATTCGAAATGAGAAAAAAGGCAACCAGTCACTGCTGAAGTGTATATTTATTTATGGAGGTATAATCTATGCAACTTGTGATAAAAGATAATAAAAAAAAAATAGAGAACAACTTGCAACTGTGTATATCATGATTATGCATTGTGTAAAATATACATGTCCTATCATTTATAGAGAATGTGGGTGTGGATGTAATTGTGAGGATGCGAAAGAAAAAGACAAAAAAACATACACATGGCCACCCACACCCACACACTTAGGGAAACTATATAATACTTTATTAACCAAATAAAGTAATTACTAGGTCATAGTTTTAAAATTTATAAAAACAAGATTTTTTTAACATATAAATTAAATTGATTTGAGTAAATATATCTGATAAATAATGTGGAGTTTTCATATTAAAAAAATAAAATTTCATGTGTCGAGAATTTCGATGCTCTTCAGTGATGATTGAACTGCTTAGAAACAATGCAAATCTTAATGAAATCATTTTTGCAAAAACAAAAATCAAACTTGTTTTATTTCATTCGACAACGTATATTAGATATAATTGTAACTTCATATTTCTAAATATTTATAGGATTGAAATCTCTAAAGAATATTGCATCTTTTGCATAATTATAAGTACATGTTCAACGTTTTCTAATTATGTGTTACTTTTGAGAAGCAAGAATATTCTTTAATCACATTGAAAGAATAGTTCACGAAAGTAATTCAGAATGGATACGGCAAAGAAGTCACTCTTACAGTATTTTTCGATGTTCTCTTAGTAACTTCTTTGGATAATGTTGGTTCTTTTTTTATTAGATTCGCAATTTAATTCTCGATAAGCTGAGTAAAAAAATATGATTCATAATAATTTAGATGACATCGTGAAAAAATTAAAAGACAATGCCCTACAAAATATTGCAAAAATTTAATGTGCAAATCGTGATGAATCGATGAAATTTTTTCTAGATTCGAGTTGCATCATTTTCCTACAATATTAGTATGTCGAAATTTACATATTGTCAACATATGATAAGATTAACCGTAACATCAAAAAAAGTAAATGAAAAACAACATAAGCATCTACGGATGTTGGTGCGGTTTTCTATCATATCTATATCCATATTCCAAGAAAACAAGACAATTCTATTCTGCTTTGGAAAACGATATATTAGAGTTAAAACTAATACTAATGTAACGATAACACCAAAGTATTAATTAATTCTAATGTCAATAATACTCAAGCATTTTTAAACGCTAGTGCTAATTCTAATCTGACACTCCGATTGAAGTTTAATCATGTGAAACAGATTCATCGTTTCGAAGGGATTCGCTTCTTAGCTTTCTAAGGAAGAACGGAAAGAAAAATATTCCAGTAGTTAATGAAACGGTTAAGAAAGTTTTCTACTCAGATGAGAAACGATTCTGAACCGAAAAGAAAATATTCTATAATAGCGGGCAACAGGAAAGAATGCTTTCTTCATGAACAAGATACTTTTCTATAATCTGACAAACGTGTTCTCTTCGACTTTTTCTATAAGCATTTTTCAATGAATAGAATAGACTTTTCGGCTTTTCATTTAGTCTTATGACCGTAACTATCATCATTAGAACATTGTGTTTAATATGTCAAAAAAATATTCAAGGATATTACTTAATGAGGTCTATCTCACTAGAATGAAAAGCCATAAAAAAGATTTAGTTTCAATTTGGGGTTTAGAGTACTTCAAAAAAAAAATGATGCTCCTATTGATATGCTGAAAATTTAGAATATGTGTTTTTTATTCGATCAAGGCTTTTTCAATTGAGTATCAAGCAAAGTTTTGATTATTCATCACTGTTAAGCAATTAGATAAAAAAAATAATAGTGCTTCTCTTTTGTAAATATATCGGAAGTCAATATTGGAAGCGATTCTACAGTCGTCTTTTTTTTTCAAAATCAGAATCGATATTAGTTCAGAAGAAAAGCTACATCACTGCTTTATAAATTCGTCTTTATTTGGTTATTGATGTTGGAATATGTAAATTGTGATTTTTGATTCAATTGTCAATATGTAACTATTACATGTTTAAAGTAAATATAAAGATGATGTATCATTGATAAAAAATTTACTAAAGCTATTTCCACTTATTGTAATGTTACATGAAGAAAAAACATTTTATTATCCAATCCAATCATTTAAAGTGAAGTTAAGTCAAACTTGAAGGTTTTCAAATAGTTTTTCGTCATTAAAAATTATTCATTTCATCGTTTAATACATGTAGAAAAGAATGCATATTTTCAAAATTATTATTCTATATCTTACAGCAACATATTATAGTTATGGACAGAAAAGTGATGGAAAGGGTAAAGATAAAAAAGAGTTTGAAATTTTTCTAAGAAGTAAATTTTAAAATGATATAGGAGCCAATGCAAGTTCAACAGAAGTTAGTATAGGATGTTTTTCTAATGATTCATCAGTTATGTTAACTAATGGCGAACAAAAACAAATCGGTTATCTTCAAACAGGTGATGAAATTCTAACTGTTGATCATTTGAAAATAGTTCCTACTGAAATGGTTATTATGTTGGATAAACAAAGATCAAAACATGGTTTTCTAATTCATCTTAATATTTGTTTTTTTTTTTCTTTAATCGCTTTGTTTTAGCTCAATTTTATACATTCGTAACTGATTCCAATCATAAAATAAGTTTAACAGGTCTTCATCTAATTCCGATTATTTCGTCAAACAATAAAATGAATTATATCGCGGCTCGAGACGTTCACTTAGGTGACCAACTTTATGTTTTAGTTAATGGTCACATGAAACCTACAACAATCAAAAATATAACCATTGAAATAAAAAAAGGATATTTCGCTCCATTAACATTGACAGGTTAGTGCAGATTTTATTGTATTTATTTGTTTTGTTTTTTAATATTTTTATTATTAAATACAGGAACTTTATTGGTAAACGATGTTTTGGCAAGTTGTTATGCATCAGTAAAAAACCATCAATGGGCACAAATGTTTATGACTCCATTTCGTTGGTATTATAGATTAGCTCGTTTTATTTCTGTCAATGATCCATTTGATAATAATCGAACAGATGGAATACATTGGGTTGTCCAGATTATTTATCAACTGACACGTTATATTCAACCTTGAACATTACACATTTTATAAACTATTCTTTATGTTTTATCTATGTTTGACATGGGTGTGAGTGTGAGCATAGAGGATAATTTCAAGTGTATCCATACGTACATTCTCTTTCAGATAAAAGCTGTATCTATATTTATTGAAACTATATGAACATTGTTTTGATTTTTATTTCTTTACAGTTCATGAAACTTTGCTTTTGTATCTTTTGCCCATGGAAACAAGATGTTTTTCATTAGAAATATAGTTGACGATGACGATCACAAAATAGACGTCTGATTAGTCATGAGTAATATCTTGCAAATGAGTCGAATGCTGGATAATAAAAGACATTGTCGGATCGAGTGCAGATTTATGATCATGGCCGATACCCGTTTTAGCAGTTAATCAAATCTCGATGTTTCATAATATTTTTTGCTTTTTCTAACTGCTCTTTTTATATAAAAGAATACGATTGAAAGCCGGTTCGATCATGATCGAACAAATAGTTGTACTTTATAACAGGTACCATGACGAAATACCTGAATATATGCAGAAGAAAATGGACTATCAAAAGAGTGAAGATGTATTTTCGTGTTAGAAAAAGCATTCATCGATATATATAAAAGTATTGCGTGTGATATCAACACAGCGTTTCGTTTCAGCTTTATTGGCAACAACTAAACATCCACTTGAGTGTCTAGATGTGGTTGCTGCAGTAGGAGACCGGAAAAACTATATGCACGCACATTCTTATCTTTTCATGTCACTTATTAGACAGCTTTCGAATATCTAACAAACAGATGGAACGAAATCATCCTGCACACTCTTCTTCATGGTGGGCTGCCGTGAAGAAATCGGGAAAAATACGTGACCACTATGGAGCACCGTTGGCTTATTGCGATTCATTTCATATGGAGTGTCTATTTCACATAAAATATGATTTGATAAACATAGATCATCAGTCAAACGATGCACGAATGATCATATCAAAATAAAACTGATGAACAATGCCGAGCTACTTTGAAAGAAATAGACTTTTCAAGAAAACTATTAGTGCTGTCCTTCATCACTCATAGTCCTGAGTTTATTTGGAACGAAGTGATAGGAATATTATATGAGGATTTCTCAAATAATCATTTGAATGAAAACCAATTTTGATTTATTTTTGTGGCATACAGAGTTGTTGTCTACTAGTTTAAACAAGGTATAGACGTAAAGAAATTCTTCGATGAACGCTTCAATGCTAGATTTTCTCACACTAAAAATGAACAGGTTATTGGTTCACTTTTTGTCTACGATAAAAATTTCAACATCCAACTTGAATATGCTGATATGTGAGGTTGTCAGTATATCCTTTTTTGCTATGACTATACATAATGTAAAAGAAGAAAAATACAGGAAGAGCATGGTGAAGAAAGAGCGAACACGTGCAATGATGGGTGAGTAATTACAAAGCAAAGTGTTTATCTTATAAAAATGTCACGCTTTATTTATGCACAGAACGAGATGTATGTTGAAAAAAAAAATCAAATTATTTCACCATCGATAAGTAATTAGTAAAATCAGTTGCGAATACTTGAAAATAATTCCTACATTTCACTGTCGTTTAGCACGTCAGTCTAATTGAATTTCAATTTATTTAAGAAACATCTTATGAAGTAATCGAGCAATAAATATATTCTATTTTCTACACGGATGAGTTAGCAAAAGCTTCAACATTTTCAAAGTGTCGTTATTCATCAAGCAATGTTCCTATTTCAAGACCATGCTTGATTTTCCAAAGCGATGTGGGATGTGAGTGTGTCTGTTGACTCTGTATTCACCTATTTCCACAACCCACATTCACACCCTAGTTTTTGTACGCATCCGAAAAAAAACCTGAGATCAAGGATAGTGAGAGTGTCACTCGAATTGATGACTATAATTGGACAAGCACTTTCACTGTTCAAAGCGCACCCTATATAATAAAATTTAAGTCATTTGTACAAAACACGAATAACACATCTCAATAGTGACTCTAGAATGACGGCTGAAAAAAAATTGACAAATGAGTGTCTCTTGTCTAAATTTCTTATTTGAATTACGATGCTTCGCTACAACTACGAATTGATCATTTTCTTTGCTTCTTCTATATATCATACTAATTTGCACATCAAGTCAGATTTGAATAGATGATTTATTTCAAACTTGTCAAACGATGTAAATACATCTAATTGAAGAACTAAAAATAATAAATGGTATGTTATTTAATTAGTTGATAATGAATAAAACGACGTTATAGATAGAGTTCTCTTGTGAATAATTAGTAATTTCCAGTGATATCGAACTTTTGAACACGAGCGTTGCCTGCATCCACAACATAGAGATTACCTTGACTGTCAAATGATAAACCAATAGGCCGTGCTAATTGATTAGTTTCTTCTCCATCACCGTTTCCACCTGCAATTATATCACCTTGTGTAGCGCCTTTGAACCAACGCATTATTCGCATGTTTCCGCAATCAGATACATAGAGTGTACCAAATTGATCTACAATAACTCCTCGCGGATATTTTAACTGTGAAAGACTGTCACCATCTCCTTGACCACCAGCCACGACTATGCCTTCGATGGCACCATCTGTCCATTTCATGACACGATGATTATCTTCATCGGAAACATATACTGAATAGTCTTTATCAACGAAAACACAATAAGGACTATTCAATTGATTTAGACCATCACCTTTTCCGTTTCCACCGGCAACTATCGTTCCTTCACTATCTCCAATATCATATCGGACAACTTCATCTCTTGCATTGTCGGTAACGTAGATAGTTCCATTTTCATCGATTGTCAAACCCTTGCAATCGATGTCTGTGGCAATTGTTTCATCTTCTGTATCAGCTGTGCGACGCCATCGAATTACTCGTCGTCTATCAGTATCACAAATAATTAAACTGTCCGTCTTTTTGTCAATAATCACATCTGATGGACTAGCCAACTTGTTCGTTCCCTGCATGACTTCACCACCACCGGCAGCCAATCGACCTTCTTTTGCACCAGCTTTCCATTCAACAATGCGATCGTTGACAGGGTCAGCGACATAGACATTTTGATCATCACCGACAAACACATTAGAAGGTGCCCATAATTGATTTAGATCACTGCCATTACCATTTCCTCCGGCAACAGTGGCACCATACTGTACCCACTTAGCATCGCGACTAAGAACTGTAGAACGTGGTGGTACTAAAGTAAAAAAAAACATTTCACTAGCATCTCATTTAGTTTGAATGAATATTCATTAAAGTGAGATAAATCTTTAAATAATAAGGGAAAAGAGAGACATAATCATCAGTTGTCGATAAAACCTAGTAGCCGTGTATCATTCAATAATTTGTGAAATTTCCCGAAATACAAAATAACGCTCTGTGAAATACAGTGATAAGTGAGTCTTAAAGGAAAGAACGGCAAAGTTAGATTAACCATTCCCCCCCCCCCCTTCCCTATACGCAGGGACATTCTAACACAATATAGATCAAGATTATATGATATGATATTCTATATTCACATAAAAGATTGATAAATTAAAAATGAGTCTATTCGTTTTTTTCCTTTTCTTCTTAAATAGTCGAGTGATAAGCAATCGATCAATGTTCTATGATTATCTGAGAATTCGAAAGTAAAAATTTTTCTGAATTAAGTGAACGCGTATAATTTTCGAAATATTATCAAACCCTACGCCCTTTATTAAAATTGTGATGAATCAGTTATTGATATCAAGTTCGAAGTAAAATGTGTGTTAGAAATGTCTTCGGAATTCATCTTTGCTGAACAATAAGGAAAATAAAATAAATGTGAATATTCAATTCATCGTTCAAATTAGATCACTCTCTTTTCCAAACTAGCATTTGCCTAAAACAAAATAAAAGTCCTAATGTTCACTAGGAGTTATTGATTATGTATACATACAAAGAATGATTTATATGAAAAATAAAACTAGCTAATCAGTTGGTTTATTCAATTAAATGATAATGTTGGAGTATGATTTATACATACCGTTGAGTTGAGTTCTTTTAGAACTACCTTTTGTTGCTCTTTTGCGAGCAACAGTAGGTTCTTTCTTAACCAAATCGGTTATCTCGGGTTCAGGAGTCATTTCAGTCGACGATGATCCAGATTTCAGAAACCAGACGAGAAAAATGCATTTACCAAGCCAATAGAATTGTAAGAAATCACACAAACCATGCAAGATATATTCGATGCAACCAAGTGATGAATATATAATCCAACAAATCAACAGTCGTTTCTCATCGAATATGCCAGGCATTTGAATAGCCATGAAGCTAATAAGACGTTTCAAAAAAATTGCATCATAGCATAAGTATATTACCAATTGGGCGATTTAATCATACATAAATCAAAGTTAGTTGTTATCATGATATAATTTTACCGATATATATTCTATGTGAAATAGTTTCATGAGTATATCTAATCAAAGTGATGTTAATTTTATCTGTCTCAGTTCATCACGACCTTCATTCTCATAGAGAGCGAGATCAACATTGACAGTAAAAAAAATGAGTGCATCAATTAGTGAAATCTCCAGTGAAAGTATAGTTTGCGAACGTATAGCGAATACTTGAAAACGAATCTTTATGTTGATAATTTTGAAGTAAAAACAAATAAGAAAATGAGTGAAGGAAAGGAAAGCAATATAAAAATAAACAAACATCGAAAGTGAGTCATGCAGTCGAACCTTGGTGACATATACTTGATTTCAGAATGCATGCTACTCGATATAGTTCTTTATGTTAAATGCAGATATCGTATGTGTATCATTTAACAATAATTTTTTTGTGCATAATCTACAATTATCCGTTTAGTTTTTACTTATTCATCCTTATCTAAGAATGCCCTATGTATGGCAATTTTTTTTTCAGACTTTCTTCTCATATGAGAATTCTTATTCAGACAGTCGGAGTTTTGCACGGGAAACTATCTTAAACTCGTCTTGGAATTACTTTTCTGTGTTTCTCATT